AAAATGAAAAATCAGAACTAAAATCAAACTAAAAAGTCACAAATAAAAATAAAAATCATAAAAATGAGAACAAAAATCCTATAGAAAAGAAAATAAAAATCCCTAAATAAAACCAAAAACCGCTGAATTTTTCTACAAACAGATCTCCGCTTCAAACCATCAAACCCACCCCCAAAAAAAAAAATAACAAATGATCAAAAAATGGGAAAAAAATGGAAAAAAAAATGGAATTTTTATTCATTTTAAAGGGATGAAAATTCCCTTCCCTTTGGGGCAGTCGAGGCCTCTGTAAACATCCTTGACTGGAAGCTGGAAGGTTCTGGAAGGAGCTTTCAGTCGGATGTTTACAGCAGCAGGCTGCTGCTTTCTGCTTTTTTTATTTTTATTTTATTTTTAATTTGAATTTTTCTGAATTAAAAAAAAAAAAAAATCGGATTTTTCTCCCCCTTATTCGGGTAATTCTTCTCCTTGACGTTTCAATTATTATTAAAAAAAAAAAAAAAATGAATTTAATCGTTGGATCCGTTCGTTTTTGCTGCTTCCAAAAGTTTTTACAGTTTGGGGAAATTGGGATTTTTTTTTTTTATTATTATTTTTTTGGTGGGATGTTTTGGGCTTGGAAGTTTAAAATTTTAATTTTAATTTTTTTTTTTTTAACTTTTATTTCCACTCGAAATCCTGGATAATTCAGCGTTCTCTGAGCACTGGTGTCATTTAAATCTGAATTTTATACCTGGAAATGTCCTCGTGGTGTTCCTGGAATAACAAATTTTTGAGAATCCACCCCCATGTTCTTTTCACTTCTCATCCTCATTTCCACAAGGTCTAGAAAATCAAGAAAAATATCAAAAATAAAAAGGAATCAAGAATTTTTTTCCTTGTCCAACACATCTGGGAGAATCCATCCTGCTGTTCCTGCTTAAAACCAGGTGTGGCTGGGAACTCAACCTAAAATAGAAAAAAAACAGAAAAATAGAAATATCAACCATAAATCCATAAATTATTTCTCCCAACCTAATTAATTTGGTGTTAATTAAAAACACCAAACATCCCCTCCAGCTGCTCTTCTTTAACTGGAGTTTCTTTTTCAGCTGGAATTTATTGAAATTTCCATTGTGGCATTGAAAATCCACTTTAATTTTTTAATTTTTTTTTTTTCTCGTTGCTCTATTTTCCTATTTTTAGCAGTTCACCATTTTTGTGATTACAGAACATCCAAACTCTGGAATCCCAACAATTCCTGCAGCACTCCTGGATATTCCAACATCTGGGATAATATTAGATTATCTGCTAATAATCCTAATTGATTATCTGCTAATAATCCTAATTGATTATCTGCTAATAATCCCTGCCAGGATCCATTCCCAGCCAGAAAATTTGGGGAATTTTTGGGTGTAAAAATGAGGCTTGCAGAGATGTTCCTCACACCCATCAGGAATGATTTTTTTTTTTTTTTTTCCAGCAGGAAAAATTAAATGGAGAGCTAGATGGCCCCTAGGAATTTTAGGTTAAGGATTTACAGGGGGGAAAAAAAAAAAATCCTGTGGAAAAATGGCTGGCTGTGCCTGGATTTTAAATTTTTTTTTGGTTTTTTTTGGTTGTGGGGGGTTTTTTTTGGTTTTTTTTGTGGGGTTTTTTTTGGGTTTTTTTGTGGGGTTTTTTTTTGGTTTTTTTGTGGGTTTTTTTTGGTTTTTTGGTGGTTTTTTTTTTGTGTGTGTAGGTTTTTTTTTTGTTTTTTTTTTTGGCTGGTGTTACAATCTGTGTTTGATCTCTTATTTGACAATCAGTGTTGGTTCATGGAAGAGCTGGGAGTGAAATCCTGATGTTTTGTTGCTCTGGGAACTCCAGCAGTTCCTTAGGAATAAAAGATGGGATGGAATTTGGATTTAAAACCATCCCTGCCTGTGACAAACCCGGAATGGAAGCTCAGAGGACTCAGTTGCCTCAATTATTTCAGGATTGAGCTGGAATTGGGGATTGGAGCAATCCAGGAATAACCTAAAGACTGAGCTTAGAGCAGCTCTTCACTGCAACTGGTGAAAATATATTTTAATTTTTTAGCACCGTTTCCTTCAGAGGAATTTTTTTTTTTTTTTAAAGAGGGGAATGGGAATAACAGGGAGCTGCAGGAATTGTGCTTGGTGATGATGTTTGGCTCAAAACTGAATCTTTGGGATGTGATTTCCTACCGGGATTAACTCCTGACTTACCCAACTCCCAAAAAAAAAAACCAAAAAAAAACCCCAAAAAACTTCTAAACCGACTCAGCCAGAGCTGCTCTTGTTTAAACGTGAATTTTCCTTTTGCTGCCCAGCTGGATGAGCTGAAAGGGGGGGAGAAAAATCCAAAGGGTCGCAGCAGGAGGTGGCAACGTCCCCATGTCGTAGCACGTGTAAACATCCTACACTCTCAGCTGTGAGCTCGAGGTGGCTGGGAGAGGATTGTTTACGCCTTCTGCCATGGAGTGAACGTCTGGGAGCTTCACCTGCCCTCGGCCAGCTCGGCAATTCTCACCCTGCAGCCTCGGCATCCCATAATCGCTGAAAATCCTGCAGTGGCCTTGGTTATTGAGGGGTTTTTTTCTCTGCTCGGATGGAGCAGGGTGGTGTTGGTGGTGGTGTTGTTGGTGGTGTTGTTGGTGTTGGTGTTGTTGTTGTTGGTGCCAGGGAGGCAGAGCAGAAGTTTCTGGTTTTTGGTGCTGCTCTCACGGCAGGGATGGGTGGGTGTGAGCCTGGGAAAGCTCAGACACCGCAGCAAACACCAAATCCAGTTTTATTGCCGAGGGTTTGATTCCAGAGCCGGGTGGAAGGGTTGGGAACAGCTCAGGCCAGGGGTTGGTGACAGAGAAAGGAGGCTCTGCCAGTTCTCCTGGGATATTTGCTGCAATTCACCCATGAGGAATTTCCATGGAATTCCATCCCAACTCTAACGATTTTATTCCTTTCCTCCTCCACCACCACCTCAGCACCGACACCACATTAACCACGCTTTAACGAGAGCTGAATAAACCGGATTTTTTTTTTACCAGCTCAGGCTTGGTTTTAACTGTTGTGGCCGAGGTGTTGGAGCCCCTCTTTGTGTTTTTTGGGTTTTTTTTGGGGTGGGGGGGGACATGTGGCCGTGGGGCGGGCAGGTGCCGTGTCCCCCCCGTGCCAATTTGTGACATTTCCCTGCAGGAGGAGGTGCGCCAGGCTGTCACCCCCGCCGAGCCCGTGCAATATTATTTCACCCTGGCCCAGCAGCCAGCAGCTGTGCAGGTGCAGGGCCAGCAGCAGGGCCAGCAAACCACCACGGCCACCACCACCATCCAACCTGGCCAAATCATCATTGCCCAGCCCCAGCAGGGCCAGGTGAGCCGGGCTGGGGGGGGGATCTCGGGGGGAGTTTGGGACAGGAACGTCAGGAACGTGGAAATCTCGGGCTGGGATGGATAAAGTTGGGTTGGGAAGGATTCCAGGAAGGGTTCCAGGAAGGATTCCAGGAAGGAACTAATTTAAATCTCACCAATTGTCCCAAATTGTTCCAATCCTTGTTCTGCCTCACCTTGGACACCTCTGTGGGATATCCTGAGCTTTTCAGGGTTAAATGGGATTCCTGGGTCAGATCCTCCAGGAAAGTTCCTCACCCAGGCTCTGAGCTCCCTCTGATTTAATCTGGGATTAGGACAGGCCAGCAGGGCCAGGTGAGCCAGGCCTGAGGGAAATCCTCAGGGATGGATTGGGACAGTGACAGTGTGGAAATCATGGGTTGGGATGGATAAAGTTGGGTTGGGTTGGGAAAGGAAGGAAGGGAAGGATTCCAGGAAGGATTCCAGGAAGGAACTAATTTAAATCTCACCAATTGTCCCAAATTGTTCCAATCCTTGTTCTGCCTCACCTTGGACATTTCTGTGGGATATCCTGAGCTTTTCAGGGTTAAATGGGATTCCTGGGTCAGATCCTCCAGGAAAGTTCCTCACCCAGGCTCTGAGCTCCCTCTGATTTAATCTGGGATTAGGACAGGCCAGCAGGGCCAGGTGATCCAGGGAAATCCTTCAGGGATGGATTGTTCAGGATCATCAATGGAAATTTTGGATTTAACCCATGGGCTGGGTTGGGAGGGAAGGAAGGATCTGAAATCTCACTCTGTTCCATGATCAGGGACCTTCTGCTGTCCCAAATTGTTCCAATCCTTGTCCTGCCTCACCTTGGGCACCTCTGTGGGGCAAACCTCACTTTTTAGGGCCAAATGGGATTCCTGATCCTCCAGGATCCTCCCCCAGGCTCTGGTGGTTTTAATCCTCACAATTCTTTGCTCAGTCTGCCCCAACCCTGCCATCTCACAGATTTTCCACCTCCTGAATCCTCTTTTTTTTTTTTTTATTAATTTTTTTTTTTTAATTTTTATTTTTGTTGTTGCAGACCACCCCTGTGACAATGCAGGTGGGAGAGGGGCAGCAAGTCCAGATCGTGCAGGCTCAGCCCCAGGGCCAGAGCCAGCAGGCTCAGAGCAGCACAGGACAAACCATGCAAGTGATGCAGCAAATCATCACCAACACGGGGGAAATCCAGCAAATCCCGGTAAGAATTCAACAGGAAAGGTGGGAAAAATCCTTCCCTGAGCACATTTGTGAGCGTGAGGCTTGTTTCTGTTTGCTTTGATAACTGGCAGAGGGAGTTTGGATTGAGTGGTGTGCTTCCTGCACTTAGGAAAACCAACCAAGTGTGACATGAAAAGGGGGAAATAAATCAGAATTCATTGCCCACCCCAAACACCTTCCCCTGAGTGAAATAGTTGTGATTAGGAAGCAATAAATCCAATATTTCCTGGCTGAATATCAGTTCTTCACCACAGCCTGGTTTGAATAAAAAGAGAGAATTCATTTCTTTTGCCTTTCCTTGGTTGTGCCTGTGCAATCTTGAAGTCATGGCCTGGCAGGCTGAGTGGGAAAGGAGCCATCTGGGAGTTTATTAATAAACTTTGATGTTAAAAGAAATATTTCTTCAAAATATTTGTGGAGGGATGGCTTTGCAGAAGCAGGAGATAACTCCTCACTTTTACATCAGCTTTAAAAATGGGATTTTGGGTGCTCAGCATAACCCAAAGTTCCTGAAATGTGTCCTAAGTAAACACAGCAGTCCAAAAAAAAGAAAAAAAAAAAAAAAGTCACATTAACTTAGAATCACACCAAAGCTGTGGCTTTTGGTTCCCAGCTGGAAAATATCACACCTGTTAGAGAAAAAAATAAAATAAAATAAAAATAAAAAAGAGCCAGTTCTGTGTTCCAGAACCCAAAGGTCACCCAGGGCCAGGCATTCCAGTTGGATTTCAGTTTTTGTGTGAAATCAGAGCTTTGCTGAGCTTCCCTCTGCTCCTGCTGTGCCAGGAAAGGCTTTGGATTGGGGGCAGCTGCCAGAATTTTCCAGCTCTTTTCATCTCTTGAGTCTTCAGCTGATTCCTGCTGCCTTGAGGTGTTGATCAGGGAGGAAGAAATTCCCAAATTGGCTTTTTTACTACGAGGAACTCTTCATTATTCTCTGCATTTTCTTTGTCCATTTCTCTTTCTTTCTTTCTTTATTTTTTTCTTTCTTCTTCTTCTTCTTTTCCATTTCTTTTTTCTCTTCTTTTCCTTGTGAAAATCTCTCTGAGAGAGAGAAAGAGAATTGTTCCTCAAGGAATTTGGAAGATCTGCAGTGGATCCTCAGCTCAGATTTGTCTCTGGGGAATGCTGGAAGTGCAGAAAAGGGCTTGGACATCTCTTGGGAGAAAAAAAAAAAATTCTTTACAAAGGAGCTGTTGAGGATCAAAATTTCCTGAAGAAAATCCAGGGAGATTTTTTGGGAAGTGATCCCTGTGCTTTTGGAAGGGTTTTAGGCTCTGGTTTTGAGCAAGAATTTGCTTTTTCATCCCTTTTTCCTGGGATTGTGGAAGAGCAGGGAGCTGTGGCTGCTCCTCAGGGGCTGGAATGTGGAATTTTTTTGGGGGGGGGGAATATTTTGGGAATACCTGGATCTCTTGACAGCTCCAAGACTGCAAAGCAGCAATGCAGGAGCAGTGGGGGGTGGGATAATCCCAATTCCCAGCTCCCCATCCAGCAGAAATTCCCCTTTTGCACGATGGATTTTGCTCTTCAGGAACCAAACTTGGTGCTGAGGGAGCCTCCAGCAAGTGAAATAAAATCAAACTTGGAGAAAAACTTGGATTTGACTCCACAAAATTCCAATCTTTGATCCATTCTACTCTTCCTGCTTTGCTTTCTTTAGTTTTTTTGGTTTTTTTTCTCTTTTATTTCCTTTCTCTTTTGGCATCTTCTGACAGCTCTGAGGGCTCAGCAGAGAATCTTGGATCACCCAAATTGAGTTGGAAATTCCCTCCTGAAACTGGAATTGCCTCTGGAGTGTTTGGGAGCATCTTCCTCCTGCTTTTCCACCTGTTCCTGGTGCTCTTCATTCCAGAAATCAAGTGGAAAAGTGAATTTTATTTTTGAATTTTTATATCTTTGTCTTACCCAGCCCCTCAGTTTTTGGGCAGGTTCTTTTTGGAGCTTCCTGTCCTTGCTGGAAGAATTTTTCCCAAATCTTTTCCACCATCATTAAATGATGGAATTAAAACCTAATCCCCCAGCATGGCAAACTTGATCTCAATGCAGAAACCAAATTTTTTTAATAGAAATTTTGTTGCTCAGGGGGAATTTATTTGCTCTTGAAATAATTTTAGAGCTTTCAGGGGAGTTTGGCTTTTGTAGAAATGCCAGGACCCCGTTCCAGGCTCTTCTTTACCAGCAGATTTTTAGAGTGTTCTGTGTGTTCTTTCCACTTCTTAAAAAGAAAAAAAACCAAAAAAACAAAAAACAACAAACCACCACTTTTTTTGGTATAAAATTACCCTTAAAACTGTGAATCTCAATGTTGTAAAGTTAAATAACCCAAGGAAAACCCAGCAGTGGGATGTGTGACATTTTTATTGTTCTCAGGTGTGCATTAACAGTGTTACCTTTATTTTCTTCGTGGCCCACATTCCCAACCTCCCAAAATTAGAGGATTTAGGGAATAAATTTGGGCTTGAATCTCTCACATGAGAAAAAAAAAAAAAAACAACAAAAAAAGCTGAGCCCTTTCCAGGTGGAGCTTGACAGGTGTTGGCAGAGAGCTGAACTCCAACTTTCCAAAAATACCTTTGGGGTTTGCCATTTCTGCTGGCTTTATGTGATAAAATTCCTGATTATTCCTTATTTTTTTGGCAGGATATGATTGCTGGAGGTGCAGGATATGATTTGGTTCTCATAACAGCTGATGTGAAACTCTGCCTCAAAGGAGCAAAACAATTCTTGTAACCAAAAGTGCTCCCAAATCTCTTAAAAACTGAGCCATTAATTTTAATTAATTTAGCTCCCATCCTGAAAAAAAAAAAAAAAAAAAGGAGAAAAAAGGAGAAAAAAAAAAGAGGAATGTGGTGCTCAGGGATCCCCAGGAGCTCTGAGCTTTTCCTTTGTGCTGGTTCCTGTTGGGAACTTTCACAATTCCAGGGAAAGCTCCCAGAGAGCTGAATTCAAACCTTCCCAAAATTTCTTTGGGTTTTACAATTTCTGCTGGCTTTATTTGATAAAATTCCTGATTATTCCTTAATTTTTTGGCAGGATATAACTGCTAGGGGTGCAGGATATGATTGCTAAAGGTGCAGGATATGATTTGGGTGCTGCCAGCTGCCTCGAAGGAGTAAAATGTAATTAATTCTTGTAACCAAAAGTGCTCCCAAATCCCTTAAAAACTGAGCCTGGCTAAAAAAAAAAAAAAAAAAAAAGAGGAATGTGGTGCTCAGTGATCCCCAGGAGCTCTGAGCTTTTCCTTTGTTCTGATTCCTGCTGGGAACTTTCACAATTCCATGAAGCTCCGGGGTTGGGAATTCTGCACCGTCACACCTTCCCAGCGATGGAATCGAGCAGGGATTTTGCTGGGTTGTTTTATTTTTTAATTATGATTTTTTCAGGGTTCAGAGTGACCTGTTTCATTTTCTTTCCCTGCCCCTCCCCTCCACCTGTCTCCAGGTGCAGTTGAATGCTGGCCAGCTGCAGTATATCCGCTTAGCCCAACCCGTGTCAGGCACCCAGGTAGTCCAGGGGCAGATCCAGACGCTTGCAGCCAATGCCCAGCAGGTATGCAACTCCACAGGGCCTGCCTCCAAGGCTTCTTCCCCAATTCCCAGGGGATTTCCATCACTTCTTGGCTTAGGATTCCTACTTTTGCTTTATCTTCCTGTTTGTCAGAGTTTAAAAAAAAAAAAATAAATAAGGAGCGTAGCAGAAATCTCCTTTAGGTGTGAGAGGTGCATGCAAAGCTCGTGTGTGTGTGTGTGTGTGTGTGGGGGGCTCTGAGTGAAGCTCCTGCTGCTTCTGAGCTGCTTGCAGGTGATTTTTGGGCTCATCATCCTTCTCTTTCCCTTCTCCTTCTTGCCTTGGGTGAGGGAGGAGCCGTGCAGGAAAAGGCAGAAAAGGCTGAGGGATCCTTCTCTGCCTTCCCAATGGCCTGGGGGACACCTTCTCCTCGGGGGAGGCAGACAGGACGTGGATTGGGGGTCTGCAAGGAGCTGGAAGGGTCTGATTTGGGGTCTGGAAGGACCTGATTTTGGGGTCTGGAAAGACCTAATTTGGTCTGGAAGGATCTGATTTGAGGGTCTGGAAGGACCTGATTTTGGGGTCTGGAAGGACCTGGTTTGGGATCTGGAAAGACCTAAGTTGAGGTCTGGAAGGATTTGATTTGGGGTCTGGAAGGACCTGGAAAGACCTGATTTGGGGTCTGGAAAGACCTAATTTGATCTGGAAGGGTCTGATTTGGGATCTGGAAGGATCTGATTTGGTCTGGAAGGGTCTGATTTGAGGTCTGGAAAGACCTAATTTGGTCTGGAAGGATCTGATTTGGGGTCTGGAAAGACCTGATTTGGTCTGGAAGGACCTAATTTGGGATCTGGAAGGATCTGATTTGCTCTGGAAGGATCTTATTTGCTCTGGAAGGACCCGATTTGGTCTGGAAGGACCTGATTTGGTCTCGAAGGACCTGATTTGATCTGGAAGGATCCGATTTTCTCTGGAATGTCCTGATTTTCTCCGGAAGGATCTGTTGGGTGTGGAATGATCTGATTTTCTCTGGAAGGATCTGATTTTTTTCTGGAATGTCCTGATTTTCTCTGGAAGGTGCTGTTTGGTCTGGAATGATCCGATTTTCTCTGGAATGTCCCGATTTTCTCCGGAAGGATGTGTTGGGTGTGGAGGTGTCCGTGGCTGCCGTTGTCTCGTGGCTGTGGGGCTGGGCAGGGTGGCCGAGGTTCCCAAACCCCCTCAGGCTGGGGGGGCTGTGACCCCCGGGGCAGGGGCAGGGGCTGGCAGTGACGAGCTGCTCTTCTCTCTGTAGATAACACAGACAGAGGTGCAGCAGGGGCAGCAGCAGTTCAGCCAGTTCACAGATGGACAGGTAAGAAGTGGGGCTCACAAGGGGCACAGGGATTGTTCCTAAATCTCTGAATTCCTCCTCATCAAAGCACTGCTGGCCTGCAGCAGGACAGGGCAGAGCTGGGCCAGACGAAATTCAGGTTCTTCATGTTGTGCTGCCTTTGCTCTGAATTAATCCAGTGCCTGGCACTAAATCCTGAGCGATTCAGGAATAAAAAATGTTAACATCTGCATGTTCCACAAGCATCATAAATCGTGGAATGGTTTGGGTTGGAAGAACTTGGAGGCTCCTGCACTTCCAGCCGTGTGAGGGACAAGTTCCACTCTGCCAGGGAGCCCCAGGCTGGCCTTGGACACTTCCCAGGGATCCAGGGGCAGCCCCAGCTCCTGGGGGAGATCAGGGAGCCCCGATGTGAGCCTGGGCTTCAGGAATTCCCAGCAGGACTTCGGTGGGTTTGGGGGTGTTTCGGGGGTGTCCCAGGGGTGCTGAGCACTGACAGGGGCTCCTGTGTCCCCGTTGTGTGTCTGCAGCAGCTGTACCAGATCCAGCAGGTGACAATGCCAGCGGGCCAGGACATCGCCCAGCCCATGTTCATCCAGTCCAGCAACCAGAGCTCGGACAGCCAGGCCACGCAGGTGACAGGGGACTGAGCTCAGCTGTCCCCAAATGCCACCCCGAGCACCTCGGCCACACCCACGTGGGCCGAGGAGCACACCTGAGGGCGAGCCTGCACAGGCTCTGCCTCCACCTCGCTCTGCTGCCCGGGGGAGCGCCCACAATATCCACAATACCCGGCGGGCTCTGCCAGGAATGCAATATTTTTATTTTCCAAACCAATCTTTGTGTATCCAGCTGCTTTTCCAAACCCCTGAGAGAAAGGATCCCAAGGGATTTGGAGCATCTCATTGAACAAATGTGGGAAATGTTGTTTTTTTTTTTTTATTTCTAGGAAAATCCTGAGGGTACTGATCCTGTCACAGCTCTATTCCTGCTGTTCTGTTTGTATTTTTTTTTTCTCTGGGTAGAGCTAGGTTTGGTCTTCCCATCTCAGTGGGTTTTAGAGAATTTTTTTGGGGGGGGTGATTGTGTGTGGTTTAGATTTTTCCCTCCTGCCTCCTTTTTTTTTTTTTTTTTTTTTTTGAGCATTTGCTGTTTGCAGGGAATAGGAGGAGGAGGAATTGAAGTGAAACTAAATAAATAAAAACATTCCTTGAATTTGGCTTCTGGATTCCAGAAAAAAACCAATGAAATGTGGACAAAACCCCAGCCCTGCTGTTACCTGTTCTCCTGGCTTTGGTCCATGCATGTAATATAAGCTTCATAAAAGGAAATAAATTTTGCTTTTGTCACATCCTGTGTGTGCTGTCCATGATATCCCAGGGCCAGGAGCAGCAAAATCCCTGGAAATGTCACCCCTGGAGCAGGGAAATCAGCCCCAGGGTGCCTGGGTGAGGGGTTTTGGGGGTAAATATGTGAAATTTGGCACAAAAAGAACCCCCAGCAGAGCTCAGAGGTTTGGGGTGACTCAAAATCTTGGTAAGATTTGGGAGGAAGGGGCAGGAGATCCTTCCAAGATCCTTTGGGGTTTTCCTCCCAGTCAGGTGGAATTTCTGCCCTGGGAATCATCTGAGACAAAAAAAAAAAATTGGAAAGTGAAGAATAGTTCATCAAAACCCGAGACAATAAAAAATAAAAACATTTTAAAGCATTTGCTATGCTTACAAAATATCAAGAAGAAAAACAAAATAAATATATGTGATAAAAATAAAAAAAAATAAAAAATAAAAATAAGTGATAAATAAAGCCAGGACTTGCAAACAAAGTGAGAGGTGCAAAGCTACCAGTGAGAAGTAACAAATCCAAAACCCTAAACCAACAAAAATAAATCCCCAGGGTCTGGAACGTGCCCACATGGCTGAGACACAATGCTCCAAAAATAAAGTTACAAAGTTCAAGTGCAAGAAAAAAATGTAGAAGCCTGCATCAAAAACCCCCAAGGTCCCCTTTACCTGGCACAGGAATCCAGGTGTTCCCTCAGCATTCGGCTGCTGCAGAATTCCCGGCCCCTCCCGGGCTTTATAAATTAAATATAATCAATAAATAAAAATTTAAATTCTTGGCTTTTCCTTATTCTCGATATTTTCCCGATCCCGCCATTCCCGGGAGCAGCGCGAGGGAGCGGCCAGGGCCGGGATGTGCCAGGCTGGGAAAAGATGGAAAAGGTGGAATTGGGAGGGGGAAATGGGGAATTGGGAGGGGAACAGGTGGAACTGGGAGGGGAAAGGTGGAATTGGGAGAGGAAAATGGGGAATTGGGAGGGGAACAGATGGAATTGGGAAGAGGAAAGGTGGAATTGGGAGGGGAACAGGTGGAACTGGGAGGGGAAAGGTGGAAATAAGAGGGGAAAATGGGGAATTGGGAGGGGGAAAAAAGAACTTTTCGGGAAAGCTCCGAGAGTGGGATCGGCCACGAGAGGGCTCCCGTGGGATGGGACGGCCGGGATGGGGGCTCGGAGATCCCTTTGCCTGGAATTTGCCTTCTCGGAAGTCCCTCTCCCTGAAATTGTCAGCTTGGAAGTCCCTTTTCCTGGAATTTGGGGTCTCGGAGATCCCTTCTCCCGGGAACCGCATCCCTGACTCTGCTCCAGCCTGCCGCGGGAAGGGCTGGGAGAGCCGGGATGCGGGTTTGGATTCTAAAATCTCTGCAATTTGGGGTCTCGGATGTCCCTTCTCCCGGGAACCGCATCCCTCTCTACTCCAGGCTGCCGCGGGAAGGGAGAGCCGGGATGGGAGAGCCAGGATTGGGGTTTGGAGATCCCTTTCCCTGGAATTTGGGGTCTCGGAGATCCCTTTCCCTGGAATTTGGGGGCTCAGAGGTCATTTATCCCGGCAGCCACATCCCTGACTGCTCCAGGCTGCCACGGGAAGAGCTGGGGCGGGATGGGAAAACCGGGATGGGACATCCAGGATGGGACAGGAGGGATGGGACAGGAGGGATGGGACAGGAGGGATGGCAGAGCCGGGATGGCAGAGCCGGGATGGCAGAGCCGGGATGCGGGTTTGGATCTCCGATGCCAAGAGTTGATCCCACCGCCCTCCCCGCAGGCAGAGGAGATGAGTGACCCCCCTCAAACACCTCTGGAAAAGGTTTGGAGAGCTGGGAATCCGCTCGTGGGGATGGAGAGGGAGCTGGAAGGACGAGCTGGGCAGCGGAGCGGGCGCCGCTCGCCTTTATCAGCCCCCGGCAGCCCAGACCAGCCGGGCTCTGCTGGGGAAAAGCTCTTTACCCACAGCAGCCGGGTTTGCTGGAAATAAGTTAAATTTGAATGGGAATAAATCGCTTAAAGGACAGAAAATGGGAGGGAGATGCTGCTCCCCAAGGGAGTTTCCAGCTGTTGCGTGAAGTGAATGAAATTTCATTAATGTGAAATAAACTCTGCTCAGTTCCGAGGGATCAGAGGGGCTGGGCAGGGCTGCTTGTTTTAATTCCTGATTGTGTCGAGTTGGGAGCGAGAAGTGTGGTCATGTTCAATAAAAACCTTTTCGATCACAAAATTAGGGTTTATTGAAGGCACAGAAACTTCGGAACGGAATTTTCTCCTCGGGCACGCATGTGAGTAATAATCATGGATGTGAGAACGTGTATTTAATTAACCCCATTAGCATACAAAAGACGTTGATTTTAACATCGAAATAAACCTTAATCGGGCAAAAGTTATTTTTTTATTTAGGTGATAACAGAGGTAAAGCTTTGCCTGCCCTCCCAGAGGAGACTGGGACGGGATGGGCGCTTTGGGGACAGCCAGCACCGTTTGTCACAGGGACCGGAACCGCGGGCATTGACAGGAGCCAGACCTGCCCTGCAAGGACTCACGGCCGCCTTTGATCTGCCGAGGGGACCGCGGTGACAAATTGGGTGGCGTGGGGTGACACAGAGTCAAACACGCGTCCCTCGAGAGGCCGAGCACCCGCGGGAGGGACGGAGGAGGAGGAGGAGGAGGAGGAGGAGGAGGAGGAGTTGTTCAAGATCCCGCTTCTCTCCGGGGTGATGAGCTCAGCACCGGCCGCTGGCACTCGGGCACTGCCACGCTCGGTTTGCTGCGAGCTTGGCTGCTGACAGCTGTCCCTTTTCCAGTGTTCCTGTCCCTTTCCCGGGGCTCCTGTCCCTTTCCCGGGGCTCCTGTCCCTTTCCCAGTGTTCCCGTCCCTTTCCCAGTGTTCCTGTCCCTTCCCCAGGGCTGCTGTCCCCCTCCAAGGAACCCTTTTCCAAGGAAAACTCACCGCGGTGAAGGTCAGGCTGCCGCTGTGGGTCCAGGATCCCAAAGGGACGCTGGGGAAGGGACAGGAGCTCCAGGTGAGGGCTCCGGAGTCACCGCCTGCAGCCAGCGCCACCAAAGTCGCCTTCCCTTGGGGATCAGCTCCGGCTCCGTCCTGCTCCATCTCCGCAGGACCTGGCACGACTGGAGGGGTTTGGCTGGGGATTGTCCCAGCCCTGGCGAGCCCGGGAGCTCTCGGCATCCTCATCCATCCTTCCTTCCTCCCCTCCGGAGCTGGGGAGCGGGGCCTCCCGCGGGGCCGCTCCGGGCTGTGCTCCCAGCTCGGGGACAGGGAGAGCGGGGCTGTGGGGTGGCTTTGGGGTGGCTGTGGGGTGGTTTTGGGGCAGAGCAGCCCCCAGGGCCCTGCCCGGAGGTTCCTCATCCCTCAGGAGCCCGGGCTGTCCCAGGCGCTGCTTTGTCCCAGCGAGCGGTGCCAGGAATTAATCGCCCTGGGATGAGGCCAAGCCTCCGGCTGGCTCAGCCCTCCCCGTGCTGCTGTCACTGCTGTCACCGCTGTCACCGCTGTCACCAGCGCTCGCCCCACCGCGACAATGCCACCCCTGGCACCCCCGAGGTGTCCCCAGCTCTGCCACTCAACCCAAGGGTTGGGTGACTCCTCCCCTCCACGATATTCCCCAAATATCCCCCACGAGGAGCCAAACTGGGACTTTGCCCCGGTCCCTGTGTCCCTGTGAGGGGTCCCGGCTGTCCCTGGTCCCACGGTCCCTGTCCCCAGCCCCGCAGCCCTGCAGCCGCATTCCAAATCTGCAAAACTTACTGGAAATTCTGTGGATGCAAATCCTGGCTCCGGTCCGTGCCAGGAACTTGAGCTGCAATCCCGAGAGAGCAGCAGGCTCCGAGCACAGGGACCTCCCCCTCGCCATTCCCGGCCTCTGGAATCCTCTTTAAAGTCTCAACAGTGCTGGGGACACGAGTGGCTCTGTGGGACCCCCGAAACCGGGCAGGGATGGGGCAAAGTCAGCAAATCCTGGGATGCTTTCCCAAAATCTCCAGCGCTTCTGACGGCTGGGTTGGTGCCATGTTGATTCAGACTGCCTGGCTCCAGCCCAAAACTTCCCAGCTCCCAGATCGATGGAGATTCCCAGGATCTGGGCAGGTGATGAGGTGAGAATGGGACCTGCCACAGGAATGACCCAATTCCCACCTGGCCCTTGAACACCCAAGTCCTTTCCAGGTCACCTCAACCCTGCCCCCTCGGCAGCCCCGAGGTTTTCAATCAATCCCAGGTGAAACCTAAACCTCCAGCCAGGGGAATGCGCTGCTCCGAAGGCAGCGGGATGAAGGTCAAGGTGCTCCCGCTGGAGCTTCTGCCTGGAGAGGGGCCAGACGAGCCGGGGGGATGCTCCGGGAAACACTTTTTGGGGTGATGAAAGAATTAGGGAATGGGTGGATGGAAGGGAGAATTTCGTTTGGATTTCCAGGATTTCAGCCTCCACGGCTCTTATCCCGTCTGCGTGGGGATTTTGTGGCATCCTTGGAGGGGAACTGTGGGTTTAACAGCACCATTTCCTCCCTGTAAATAGAATTATTTATTGTGTGTGATTCCCGAGACCTCCCAAATCCCGCAGTGCTCACGAGGGCCCGCGCTGTGCCAGGATCTCTGACTGCCACTAAATAATTCACTGCCCGAAGCCCTGAACTTCATCTCTGCTCCGGGAGAGCCTCGAGGGGTGCGGGGGGAGCACTCGGATTCTCCAAAGGTGCGAGAACACACGGATCCAGCTGGGATCCAGCTCGGAAAGGGAATTCCCAGCGCCCTGCCTCAGTTCCCGGCTGGGCTGGTGGACTCGAGTGTTGGTTGGGAAACGCTTGCACAGGCTGGAGGCTGAGTCTGCTGGGGATGGGTGGGGCTGGGATGTTCAATCTCCTCCAGAGATGCTCCATCCCCTCCAAGGATGCTCCATCTCCTCCAGGATTGCTCAATCCCCTCCAAGGATGCTCCATCTCCTCCAGGATTGCTCAATCCCCTCCAAGGAT